GCGTGTCCTCGTGCCCCGTTTTGGGAGTTGCTCATGATATCAATCACCGGTACGCCTGATTCAGGTTTGATGGGTTGCAAGTCGATGTGTTAAAGCTGAAATAATTGCTGAGTGCAGCGATAAACAACAAACAAGTATATACACTTCGGATTAATTATCTTATGGTTTCATAGTTTGTTGTTTAATGCTGCACTCAGCGATATACCAGCCACATAACGGTCGGCTGTAAATAATTGAGTATGGATCAGACAATCCAGTGAGTGTCATCATGAGCATCGATAGACGCAATTGCGATTCAGTAACATGAATCAACCAAGTCAGCGAGTCTGACCCCCCGATCCCGTTAGTCGCCTTTCACGACAAGTATAGTCGCCTTTTACGTCGAGGATGGGTTGCTGAAGACCAACTCCAATCCAACCCGGATCTTCATCTGATGTCATAGACATGACATTGTGATATATATTCATCTTTAGAATGAGTTTTGACGCCACTTCTTACAATATTCCTGTTTGTTTGTTTGTTTAACGCATCTCTCTGCAATATTCCCGCTGTAGGACGATGGCCTGTAAATAACCAGAGTCTAAACCAGACGATCCATCGATTGAAATTGCGAGCAACGAGCCTGACCCCCCCCCCCCCCCCCCCCGATCCATTAAAACGCCTTATACGACCAGCACTGGTTGCTTGGCACCCCTCATAATCCAGAAACCCCATGGGGTCAATATCCTGTACTAGGGGACCACGGGTGGGTGTGTGTGGGTGTGTTGGGGAGGGAGGGGGGGGGGGGGGGGGTCGTCAGGACAACCATAGGCTATCCACGCTGAATATTCAGATGTGGTTTTTTTTAACAATATTTATATTCACATAAGACAATGCCTATAAAATAGTATAGGTGTGATATATCTGTCAGCATGACAACACAATGAACAGAGCAAGCTCCGTGGGTGTCAGTCCAGTTTCAGTCGCCCAGCTTGTCACAAAAATCATCATGTCTGTCCTTGGCAAAAACACACATCACATGATCAATCTATATACGTCGTCAACATGCGCAAGTTACGCCATCTGAGACGGAACCCAGCCTCACACAATCCTGACCTCACATCAAGCTATGTCAGTAATAACACCCATATGACGTCGCGCAAAGAGCTCCGGGAACCAGCTTAACGTCACACACTACTCTGACGTCAAAATCTCGCGCTGGCGCCCTGAAAACTGAAGATAATAAGAAATGCGTTGAATGGCGCGTTTAACGGAAGACTGACGCGCGGCACGATATGAAAACCCGTCTGTCGTTAGATCACCAGGCAACACTGTCAAGGGGTACGGGCCGACTTCTGAGCATTTCGTTAAATGGATTTCGCGATCAAATAAGGTACTGGAATGTAATTTCTGTTTGTTTAGCGGATCAAAAAGCGCCTGGTCACTTGCAGTCAGTAATCAGCGCTTCAAACGAAACGTGCCTAGCTTCCTCATGATATGTCTTTCGTGAGGAACATGACATTTCTTAATTGACCAAATTTAAAAGTTTTCTTACGAGAAGGAAAATCGAGTAAAATTGCAAAAAACAGCAAGATGAATGTGGCTTTGATTTATACGAATATAAAGCGAGTTAGAAAATGTCACTGGTGGCTTTCTTTAGCGTTTTCCCGTCACGAAATTCCTTTTTTCTGAAATGAAAGTGAATTATTTAATATTTCTGTATTGCGTGAAGACACATACGCTGCCTTTGTTGAACGATGACAATGACCTTTGGTAGAAAAGTGCTAAGTTTGTATTATTAAAAACGTTTTATAGAAACACCGTTCCAAATTTTACAGACATGATTTGGTAATTATTCCAACTTTACGATCAGCAAATGTTTTTCAACCTTATTCACAAAACCAATATCCTGGAACAAAATAGGATCAAGAGCGATTATCAATCAGTCGTTATGATAAACGTACTGTATTAATAGGGTGCTAAGGCTTACTGATTGTAGATGATTGAGTGAGTGAGTTGTGTTTAATGCCGCAAAAATTGTATCACGAAGTGATGCGGCTTTTAGACGTTTACCACTTTAGCGTAACCCGCTGACAAACCTAGAAACGTAATCAGGGCGGAACGGGATTCCAACCCACGATCACAGGATTCTGGTACGCCCAAGGGACACAACTCTTCACAGCGAATTGCGCCGCGAGACGACTGGGCCACACACCCCAAATACTACATTAAGCGAATATTTTGTAATTTCCTGTTTCACGCTAAGTTGATTAATAGCTCTTCAAGTAGATTTAAGGTTATTTATGCTATGGTAATAGTTCACTTCTCGTATCGTGACATTCCCTCGAGTACCTGCTGATCCAGGCACTGCTAAGGGACACAACTCTTGCGCCGCCACCACCGGGCCAAGAAGATGACATCGGTGAGTGTCCTATTTTCATAAACAATTAACAACAATTTGTCACTGGAAGGAAAACCGTTTTTTGTCGCGAAATATGAAGTCGGGGCTGAAATAGATATTCTCCTCCACGCCCACGTCCAACCTAATTGCTAAGCGACATCGGTGAAGGCATACTGTAAAGTGTCCTTGATAATAATGTGTTTAAATGAATAATGCGCCAAATCAGTCAGTTCCAGTCAATGGATCTAAGCGTTACATCATTATCCCAGACAGTGGAATAATGTGCACTCGATTTTCATTCTCAACTCCCTGGGGAGTATGCAACCCAAACAGCCTGTGGGGCGCCAGAAGGTTGACATCCATCTCATCCTACCGGGAACCCATTCCTGTTTGAAGAATATTTTGAATAAAGTCAGTTGCCTTAGGTGACACCACATGTAATAAGTGTGGGGCAGGACCGACGCCGCAGAAGCTATCAGGAGTCAAGCTGCCGAACATGGTCACCCATCCAACTACTCTCCGCCACCAGCTTTACTTAACATCGCTTGACTGTTTACCTGTGCGCTGTGCAAAATCCAGATGGATTTCCGCTGTGCTACCATCCACCCTCCAAACAGTACTTTTACAAATGACCCAATCCTCCATCAAATGAACTCAGATCTTACAAAAACTTTTTCCAAAGACGTTAATACATGAAACAACAGCCACTGAACAACAGAACCATGCTGCGATGCCAGACGCTCCGACAATATTCAACAAACCTTTTTAACCGACAATCCGTTCTGTTAATAATAGCATCAGCGATGCCACGTTTACCACGACATTAACTATGTTATTGCCCAAATGTTTGGCCCTGTTCGTTGAAATTCTTCAGGTGGTATAGAGTTAATATCCATAACAAAACATATTATAGGGATATTGTTTTGTATGGTGTCAGGGAAGAAAACGATGATTCTGAAGATATGAATTTGTTGTTGTTGTTGTTGTTGTTGCTGGCTATATTAATCATATTCAGACGTAAACGTAACTAGAAATCACTGTCATTTTATTGTGTTATTTAATACATATTAATTATGCGCTACTAATTGCTGAAGTCTATCAAGTCACCGATTGCATCCAAACAGTTCTTGATGTCAATTAATAAATAGTATTATTGTATTTACTTTTAAGTTTGTTTGTGGTTTAACGCCGCACTCAGCAATATGACGGCGGTCTGAACCAAACAATCCAGTGATTGACATCATGCGCATCAATCCACGCAATTGGGATACGATGACATCATGATCCATTATTCGCCCCGATTATGTTTCCAGGTTTGTCAGCACCATACCCGTGCTCCTGGTTTTCACCAAAGCGGTTAACGTCGAAGACCTGCATCACTTCGGGCTTTCCTTCAATACGAAGCTAACGCCGAAATATAACTGAAATGTTCAAAGAGGCGTTAACCCCAACTCACTCAACAACTCACTCACTCCGTATAACAAAGTTATGGCTACATACTATTTGATGTTTGTTGTTTAACGCCGCACTCAGCAATAGTCCAGCTATATGACGGCGGTCTGTAAATAATCGAGTCTGGACCAGACAATCCAGTGATTGACATCATGTGCATCGATCTCCGCAACTGGGATACGATGACATGCATCAACCAAGTCAGCGAGTCTGACCACCCGAACCCGTTAGTCGCCTCTTACGACAAGCATAGTCGCCTTTTACGGCAAGCGTTGGTTGCTGAAGACCTATTCTAACCCGGATCTTCACAGGTGTATTTACTTTTAACATGGAAACAATACCCACTGAAAGGCCTGTCCACGTGGCCCCGTACAGGGTTGCTGCATCACGATGTCATGAAGACGCAAAACAAAAAGAAGAAATGTTAACCAATAAACTAAAAATCATGAGAACGGTACGATGATGACAGACCGGATATCCTAACAAGCGGATCCTGGAACGGCCACGCCTCAGACCACATGGCCCTCCTTGATCCCCGAACATTTCTTCAGTGATGCGTCGTTACATATATATACAAATATATATTCTTCGGAGTAATTTAAAATACAATATTAATTTTATAAAATTATAAATAATGTTCAACATCTGTTCACCAGCAATGCAATGCATTGTTAAATAGGGGGCACGGGTGGCCCAGTCGTCTAAGGCGCCGCGATTCGCTGTGCAGAGTTGCGTCCCTTGGGCACGCCAGAAACCTTTGATTGTGGGTTCGAATCCCGGTTCGCCCCGATTATGTTTCTAGGTTTGTCAGCACCATGCCCGTGCTCGTGGGTTTCACCGAAGTGGTAAACATCTGAGACCTGCATCACTTCGGGCTTTCCTCCCACATTAAGCTGACACGTCGCGATATAACTGGAATATTGTTAAAAGCGGCGTTAAACCCAACTCACTCACTCACTCACTCACTCACTCACTCATTGTTAAATAAACACCGGCATCAGCAAGAACAACCAACTCCTCTATCTCAGCTGGCAGAGTATCGATTAAGCGAAGACAGCTGCTATTATTACCCTACACATTACTTAAGTCGTATAGTGAGTGCGTTGTACTTCTACCGCCAACTGTATTTGAAACATATTAATTTCATTTTTTCTGTCTAATTTGACAGAGCGACCGTGCGAACAGCTCCCATGAGAGTAGCTTCAACGTCGATGGGTGTACGCTGGGAGAAATGAATGAGGTTCCGCGTAGAACAGACGTCATCTTGGGCCTCATCACCACCTGCTGGTGTGATGCAATGCACGTTGACCTCGTTGAATGTTACTGGGTCAAAAAGTTCTTGGCTTTACAACCTCGCTTCCATCGAGAAGACGATCCATAGCGTTTTATTTCACATCGTGATTAAGTCTGTTAGCTTTGAAAGCATATCCGGGTCGGTAGCAGAGTGGTTAAAGCGCTCGCTCGTCACACTGAAGGCCCGGGTTCTATTCCCCACATTGGTACAATGTGTGAAGCCATTTCTGGTGTCCCCCGCCGTGAATTTGCTGCAATATTGATAAAAGCGACGTTAAGCCATACCAGATTATTTTAGATAGCGTTAGTCCGGCAACACCCAATTAGCTTTTCTTTAGATTTAATCATTAGCAAATGCCACCAGGTTTAGAGTGAGTGAGTGAGTTGGGTTTAACGCTTAGAACATTATATCACGGTGTGTCAGCTTAATGTGGGAGGAAAGCCCGAAGTGATGCAGGTCTCAGACGTTTACCACTTCGGTGAAACACACGAGCACGCGTATGGTGCCAACACTAGAAACATAATCGGGGCGAACCGGGATTCGAACCCACAATCATAGGTTTCTGGCGTGCCCAAGGGACGCAACTCTGCACAGCGAATCGCGGCGCCTTAGACGACCTGGCCACCCCTGACCCCTCGAGGTGTAGAAAGTAACATACTGGTCATGAGGAATCAAGTTTGTTTGTTTCTTCTTAACGCCGCTCTCGGCAATATACTAGCGACATGACGGTGGTCTGTAAATATTAGTCTGGACAAGACAATCCCGTGATTGACATTATAAGCATCGATCCACACAATTGGGATACGATGACATGAATCAACCAAGTCAGCCAGCCTGACCATCCGATCCCGTTAGACGCCGCTTACGACAAGCATGGGTTGCTGAAGGCCAATATTCTAACCCGGGTCTTCAAACGAGAAAGTTAATAACTTCCAGTCGTGGTCAACATTAATTCTTGAGGGACAGATACTCTAATTCTCGGCTGCGAGAAGGTTATTCATGTGGGTATCCTGATCTGATGCGCAAACGCCAGCTGAAGTCTATACGTTGGAACGACGTCACATTAAACCGTGGCGTCAACAATGGGCTGCGTTATTCGTTCGTTTGACGTAAGAAGGAGTCTCTTCTAAAACACTGAAAACAATGGCTCGAACTAAGCAATCGGAATGAAGCAAAAAGATATCAAGCAAAGATATCAAGCAAAGAATATACAGAAAATCATTCACCCATGTCCGCGAAATCTATTCAACAGGCCCAATTATTTTATAATTAATTACAGTAAACTACGTTTATAACGAACACGCTTATAACGAACTGACGGATATAACTAAATGTGTTTTGATCCCGCCCGTTTGCGGTATATTTGCTGTTTATATGCTGTATATATGCTTATAACAAACTACGGTTATAACGAACTAAAATTAGTGGTACTTTCAGTTCGTTTACTGTCTTTATTTTAGTTTTATTGACGTCGTCTGTAATAATCAAACACGACAGCAACAGTTTCGTTTCTTGTAACGCCGGACTATTCCAGCTATGCATGTAAATCTTCGAGACCAGAATGACCGCCTCCGTGGTCTAGTGGTAGAGCGTCTAGTGGTCCGCCCGGAGAGCGGAAGGTCCGGGGTTCGATCCCCGGCCACGTCATACCAAAAGACGTTAAAAGATGGTACTTGTTGTTATCCTGTCTGGCGCTCGGCATTAAGGGGCTTAAACAAGGAGTGGTCGGCTCAGAGTCAGTATACTGTGTCTGAGTGGGGTATTCATGTTAAACTGCGGCATGGTATCTCAGTGAGCTAGCACTATAAATCGGCATCAGTCCGAACTATATTTAGTACAAGCAGCATAACAAACACATACACGTACATGCACGTCGCTATATAAGTGCAATAACCCAATTTCCCCTCACCTCACCTCAAGTCCAGAAAATCCAGTGATTAACATGATGGGCAACGGTCTGCGAGTCAAGGAGTCTAATCCTGTGATCCATTAAGTCATCCTGTACATCAAACAGGTTGTAGCTAGGATGCCAATTCTAGCCTGAACTCCCACGGGGACGAGCCATATGGTACAGTAGTGTCGGCTAGCCTGAATTCATAATTAAGCCGTTAAATAATCCACTGCAAAAACGGAATAGCATATTGAACAAAAAATATAAGCATCACAAATACAACATATTTATTACCCATTTTCCACCAAAAAGACTAGACCTCAATGATTTCAATAACGAAAAAGCATATCATCGAATTTTTAACCTTACCATAAAGTTATAATGAATGACTTCGTTTAGACTTAATAATTTCGATTGATTCGTAATTTAGTCTCCACAAGTTATTTCTCATGTAATACGACGATCGGAATTTGCTGCCATTTCCTTCATGCCGTTTCAAGGTTGAATTGTTTAATGTGAAAAAATATCGAGTGTTCATAACAAATTAATCAACAGTTCTTTTGATGTTTAATACCAGGCGGAGTGGGTCGGGCCAAACCAACAAAGGCAGCCAGCCGTGACTAAATCGGGTGCTGCAAGCGGGCATCATCTTGGCCTGTAAACCACGAGACGATCTTCATCTGCTTTACAGCTCAGATCCTGGTGAGTTTATGTGGAGAGGAAACATCGACTTCCTCTGATGTCATCACCCGACACGAGAATTGAAATAAAGATTATGGCTAGATTACGTAGAGATCCACAGACACCACCCCACCCAAACCCCCACAACCGCCACCCCCACCCCCACAAGTTATCCCGTAATTTAAACTCAACAAATCTCTTCTTTTTGTCCCATATAATACATGTTGGTACATAAACAATTTCAATGGGGAGATGGCACTGATATCGTTCGTTAACTGGTCTTTCAGCTGTCTTGAGGTAACCTATAACGGCAATCGTGTTCTTTTTATAAGCAGGGGTGAGATGAATTGGGGTTTAACGCCGCGTTCAAGATTACTGCACTTATATAGCGTGTGTGGCATCAATTATGCACACTGGATAAACCAGCCTCCACTTGCTTGTATGAGCCACGAGAGGCCCTGCGGTATTGGGCGCCGCAACTCGCTGTGCAGAGTTGCGCCCCTTAGTCATGCCATGAACCTATGATCGTGGCCTTTCCTCCCACGCTAAGCTGACACGCCGTGATATAACTAAATACCGTGGCGTAACTGTTCAAAGCGGCGTTAAATCAAACTCACTCACGCACTCACCAGTCTCAGACTTGCTCGGAACAATATCAGAAATATTCGCGGTCCTTCTTTTCTAGAACGGACTGTGTGTCAAGATTAGACCCCTACCGTCACGTTTTTACTAATATTGACCAGCCGTATTTGTGTTCGAAAATAGAACGAGACATCTTACACCACACTCTCCTTGTGAAGATATATGATGGTGTTTGATGCCTTCTCAGAGGTGAGCTATTATCGTGCTTTCCTAACGTCTAATCAAGAACTAAGCGAAATATCAGTCGCTGTAGATAAGAGCACCAGGCCGCGCCACGCAAACATTGAGATAACACAAATTAACACATACAGAATATGTGCTTGTATCAGAAGTCGATAGGAAAACAGTAGGTCGTTAGCAGTGCATATCGCTTGCTGATACTTTCCAAATGTTAGCCATGTTGATTATATCGGTGGCTGATAGGGAAATTACCCCTCATATACGTTCTGTAACGATCCTGGGATGCAGTCCGCTTGTTCAGTTGGAACCCGCTTGTGCCGAATAAATGTCGGCTAATAATGGTAACATTAGTCGTATTGTAACTCGTAGCATACTTCAGTTTGACTTAATGGACATTTTCTTCTCTCATTTTGTTAGCGTGTCCATGTGGCATTTAAGAAATCAAGTTATTTGGTTGAATAAAGATTCCACTGTTTAAATTCTCACAAAATGCATGCATTGGTCGTGTAGGTTCGTGTTATGTTTTGTCCAAATATGGGATCGTGTATTGTCTAATGTTTGTGATAGTGAATTGTACAATGTTTGTGATAGTGTATTGTCCAGTGTTTATGATAGTGTATTGTCCAGTGTTTATGATAGTGTATTGTCCAATGTTTGTAATAGTGTATTGTCCAATGTTAATGATAGTGTATTGTCCAGTGTTTATGATAGTGTATTGTCCAATGTTTATGATAGTGTATTGTCCAATGTCTATGATAGTGTATTGTCCAGTGTTTATGATAGTGTATTGTCCAGTGTTTATGATAGTGTATTGTCCAATGTCTATGATAGTGTATTGTTCAGTGTTTATGATAGTGTATTGTCCAGTGTTTATGATAGTGTATTGTCCAATGTCTATGATAGTGTATTGTCCAGTGTTTATGATAGTGTATTGTCCAGTGTTTATGATAGTGTATTGTCCAGTGTCTATGATAGTGTATTGTCCAGTGTTTATGATAGTGCATTAGCATTGTCCAGTGTTTATGATAGTGCATTAGCATTGTCCAGTGTTTATGATAGTGTATTGTTCAGTGTTTATGATAGTGTATTGTTCAGTGTTTATGATAGTGTATTGTCCAGTGTTTATGATAGTGTATTGTCCAGTGTTTATAATGGTGTATTGTCCAGTGTTTATGATAGTGTATTGTCCATTGTTTATGATAGTGTATTGTTCAATGTTTATGATTGTGTATTGTCCAGTGTTTATGATAGTGCATTAGCATTGTCCAGTGTTTATGATAGTGTATTGTCCAATGTTTATGATAGTGTATTGTTCAATGTTTATGATAGTGTATTGTTCAATGATGGGTCTGAATAATCACACGGGAGTCGGACAGTGCCAATAATGGTTTGTGTGTTTGGCTAATAATAGCCTTGACAGCAGAGTTTGCTGAATCCTAACACGATTACCAACACCAGCTGGGGAATAAGCAGATAACGTTGGCATATAGCATTGACTTAACCATAAATACAACATATTACACGTGTAATAAGATATGTATATACGACCTAACTGATACATATCTCGTAATGAAAAGGTTAATGTTTGGGAATGGAATGTGTTGCTGCAATATCAAGATATTTTCATAGATAGCACACTATGTTTACTCATTCGTGGGAGATGGTGGCCCATGCGTCGAAGTATCCTTAATGC